CCAGGAGGGGGCGACTCCTCCGGTTGCATAAAGAAATCTGATTATCTAGAAGCCTTTGAATAATTGGCCCTACCTCTCACCTGATTAATTGTGTCAGGAATCATTTTCCTAACACTTTAATGGTCTCAGTTACTAGTTTCAGGATATTTCCATTTAGAATAAAATATCCAGAATATGTTTCTATGTGGGGATATCTTGTAATTGACATGTCACTATCATATGTACTGTCCTTCTTTCTCTGATGCACTAATCGCTCCTTACGTTTGGTCTCAAAAAACACAAGATGGCAGCAGTGTCAGAGCAGTAGTCCACAAACCAAGAGGTGACATTCTGGTGGCTACATCCATCTTTTATACACAGTCTGTGTTTCCAGGCTCTACAACATAATAAAGCCGCCTACAGTCAGCCAAAATTAGTCACATTTGTCATGAAAGCGCACAAAAATGCACCTGAAAAACTGTGACAGGCTTTTCTGTGAGTCACTTACACTGAGTTCAGGTGGTAACAAATATGATCTGACATGTCTGTGGGTGAGGACAAGTAGTTGTATTACATAAGGCAAAGATAAGCAGTCAATTACAGGAGACCAAAAACCACAGCAAGGATCACAAAACATGTCCCAGTGAAGCCAGCCTGACTAATGATAGTATTACACACTATCATTAGCTTTTCAAAACGAACCATTCCAACACTAGGTAGGAGAGGCGTTGGAACAGTAATCCCCAGTGCTTTTTCCAAGCTTCCCTCATTTGGTGGATCAATATTTTGGATTACAGTATCTGTCTTTGAAATGAGCCAAATAAGCCAGTGGGGTCACAACTAATTGGTAGTAAGCTGGATCTTCCATTGGTGCCCTGGGATATGTTGATAAAATGCTCATGCACACAAGGATTTGAATAAAATTACATACCACAGGGCTTGAAGACGTCTTCATATTTGTGTTCACTGACAGCTGAGAAGCGAGAAAAAGAACTAATGAAAAATGTCACCCAAAAGCCAGTTTAGGAATATTATCTGCTCAATATTTGTGAAAGATAAATGAGATTCCGTCTGTAGGAAGACATATATTTATAAAGCCTCTTAAATAAATAACTTTGGAAGCCAGACAGAAGGCGATTCATAATGCAGCATAATGCTGTTTATACCATTACTGATCGTGCCCTCTTTGGCCACTTTGTGTAATTTGTCTAAAGTGAAGAGACGCATCATGTTTGCAAATCAGTCCGGTGATGATGAGACTGGATTTTTTTAGTGATGTTTAGTGACCCTGCGGTGACTCGGACCGCTGCGACACCGGTTCCACTGTGGATAGCCGTCGTCATGGCAACCGGGAATCAGCATCCTCGGATACTGCGGCCTTGCTGCCGTCAGCTGTGCACCATTGTTCTTGTTTCATTCTCCCCCTCCCCTCTCTTCCTCTGCCTGACCCCCGCCTCGTGTTTCCACCCCGCCACAGCCTTCCTGCCTGGTCTCGTTTCTCCCACCCCTCTTGTATGTTCTGTTTCTCCGCAAACCTCACCTCGCCTATTGATCACCCTTCTCTCATTTGCATCCATCATTTCTGTACGTTTTCACCGTGCGTATTTTCACAAATTCCACGTGACCCGACGAGTCGGGATTGGATCCCGGGACAATAGAAGCTTACTCTCCGGTCGGTGATTCTTTGCTGTGTGATGTTAAAAGGATCAATTAGAGTCAACAGAGATCACCACTAAGCTAATGTTAGCTGGCCTGCCCACTCACTCACCCGCTCACTCAATCTTTCCAACTGTTGCTAATAGTATGCCCGACGGACATGACGGCTAAAACTGTTTGGATGTTACCAGAGCAACTGACTGTTCTATTTATAGATGTTAATAAAGTTAGATAGCGGTTGTCCTGTGTGGGAGCTCGCTTCGACAAAAGGGGAATGCTCTCAGTAAGTAAGCCCATTGACTGTGCTTGTGACAGAAAAGGATTTGTATTCTTTGCTAAGACTGGATTAAGACTACCATAGATCCCTCAACTTAAAGGGCTTCAACCTAACAACACGAGTCTAACCCTTCCTCCCTTGTTTCAGCCTTGATTCCAGTGTGATAGCCAAGCTTTTTTGCATTCATATCCACCATCAGTATTTCTTCAGCGCTTTAAATGCGTCTCCCGTCTCTTTTTTGCACTCTCTTTTCATTGCAGTTGACCTGACAAGTTTTGCAGAGGATACTGGGAGGAACCAATTTTTAAAATGCCCGTGGCAACATCCAGCTCTGACTCCGGTAAGTGTCTTGGTCTCACTGTGATGAGGGCATCTGAGTGTGTCAGTGTGCGAGAGAGAGAGAGAGAGAGAGATATCAGGAGAGAGAAGTGGGAGGAGAGACTGAACGGTTTGTGGTTATTCCCGCACTCAGGACATGTATCTCATCTCCAGAGTTCTAATGTGACTTAATGAGCTGGCTAATGGAGCGCTAAAACTCCAGTCTTAGATCAGTTATGCCCCGAAGGATTTGCTGTTGCATCCTTTGCAGACCTCGACTCGTGCACGCCGAAGCACCGAGTAGAACACGTGCACGGGCCTCCACACGGATGCACATTTATGACATTAATTTAGTCTTTCATTAGAGATTGACAACTGATTAGCAGTGACTGAAATACCAGGATATGGAAATCGTGTAATAATGATGTAATTGCCTTTAAAATGTTTGGCAACGATCAGAGTTACTTTTGATTTAAGAGTTTTTTTTTTTTAATCTAGTTTAACTTTTTTGAAATACGTGTTGATTTGTGGATGTGATTTTTAAAAAAATCATGGGGTCATTGTTTGTTATTTCCAGCCATGTATTTAACAAACTAGCTAGCATCATACCACGAAGACAAATCTTGACTCCGCACCACCATCTGCTCAGCTGTGATCTGTACTCTGCTACATGTGCTGCAGACTGAGCGTATTGTCAACACTAGCTGCTCTGCTGGACCGATGATGTGATAGCACTGTTTCTAAATGATCCCATGCTTCTTTTTCTGAGTTATGTTCTGTAAAAGAAACCTTTCACATCAGTGTGTATTAATAGCTTATTTGCCGTCACTGACTTATCAGTATATCAGTCGGGCTCTAAAGTGGTTTATAAAACTGATCCCAGGACAATAATTTGTGAATATCTTTGCTTAAGATAACAAAACCAAAACATTACATCCTGTGCTAATGTTTCTATGGAATTGCTGGAATCCAGGTTAAATTTGGCCTCTTGTTGGCAGAGCATCAAACTCAATTTTCACATTGATATCAAAGATAATATTTTTTGACAACATTCAAATTATATTTACTCATTTGAGTGCCAACAAAGGTGCCCACGTGAAACTGCAAACTGGCGCAAAGCCACGCTTCCATGTATTTCCTCTTCACTCAGAGCTGAGGACAGAGATACGAAGGGTTGAAAAGCCGTGACCGGATCTCTGGGAAATTATTCACAGAGGTTGTTTTTTTTAACGCAGAGCCAAATCAAGAACTCAAAGCTTTTTAGTATTTTATCGTGTAGTAATAAATTGTTGGAGTCAGCTGCCAGAAAGAAAGAGAAAAGCAGTTCCACGGAGAGTTAAAATGTGTGTGGGGTTTTTTTTTTTTGTAATGGGCTGTCAGTCAGTCTTGATTTGTACACTCGCCGAGGGCTGAGGCTGGGCGACTGGCATTTTTAGCAACACAGTAAATTGTTTCTCTAAACCAATTCGCATCTTTTTTTTCTTCTAAATTTAAAAAGCAGCAGGGATATTTTTTGCTCAGACTCGGAGAAGGGGTTAGAAAGGGGTCAGTTCTGATTTGAAAACAAGGAGATGTTTTTTCAACTCCTGTCACCAAAGTAGCTCAGATGTACATTTTTCTGAAGTTATGATCCGAAAGCTCGAACAGAAATCTCCTGGTGAGTGCAAAGCCGGCTGTGTTTGTTTAGTAGTAGAGCGCAATAACCAACATACAAGACATCACCTCTGTGACCACACCTCTTTCCTACAAGTCCACCTTCTGCTGCTCTTTCCCCCGGTTGACCCCCTGCAGGGAAGCCTTAAGAGAGAATCTTCCTGCCTCCCTATTGCCCTCCTCCTAGAGAAAGCATCATTCTTCCCTCCCTCTTTCGTCCCCACTCCCCCCCCTCCACCTCCTTTCTTTGCTCGTGCACCCAGCCCTCTCGCGTCTTCACTCATTCATGCGGAGGAGAAGCCGCTCGGCCAGGCATAGCTTATACACATTCACGTCAAGATCAGGTGGAGGGGGGACGAAAGAGCGAGGAGCTGCTTTGGCAGAAAGAGGAGGGAACCGGGGAGAGAGAGAGAGAGAGAGGTAGAGAGAGAGAGAGCTCTCTCAGACTGCCTCTGATACAGTACTGGGTGTGTTACTGTGCACTGTACTGAGGTGTTGTTCACCATGGCTGGCAGCCTGTTTGGAAGGCTGTCCCTGGAGGAGGGGGACTCAGCCAACTCCCTGGAGGGCCTGGATATCAAGCTGGGGGGAGAAGGTAAGAACAAAGGTCCCTTACCTGCTGGGTGTGTGAGGAATGTGGGATGAGTTTTTCTGGCTGTGTTGTTGCTGTTAGAAAAGATGCTATAGACAGAAGATAAAAAAAATCAATGATCGAAGCAATGTTATAATGAACCTTTCGCGGAGACCAGTTCCCTCGCGTGTTTGTTTGGCGTTTGAGGGCCAGTTGGTTGCTTTAAATTCGCATTGCACCTGCTCCTGATGTGCTGCCTGAAACCCTCCAGAGTGTGATGAAGATGAGCAGAGGCAGATTAGGACCCAGGGCAGCATGTGATGTCCAGGAATCTAAGGCTGCAGACTACAAAGACAGGAAAGGAGATGTAAAAATAGAGCTTCTCAATATAAGACATTCTAGTTTTCTTTTGTTTAACTGAGAAAGAGAAGCCTGATTGTCAGTTGGATGAGTAAAGAATGCAAAAAAACACAAGAAGTGATTACAAGAGCAGGACCCAGAGTGTATTTGTTGTACTAAATGTTAATGCCGGGATAATGTTTGCTCACACAGCATGGCGTGGGAAGTATATTCCATTCATAATTGATGGATCCCGTTAATATTAGATGGAGTTGCATATCTCACAATAATATGTAGCAAGTGTATGTCCGTGTATATTTCTCTCCATACGAGTGCTTTGACCCCTGCCTTGTTCCGTCAGTGTAAAAAAAACACTAGCAGATGCCAGGTGAAGGGATTGGAGTGAAAACAACTATTTTTTACGGTGTCATGTTAAATTAGTCAAGGTTAGAAGTGTAATCATCATTGCCGAGCAGTGTCACGCGTTGTACCGCCTTTGCAAGATATCCTCTGCTTCGTAATGTGGCTTGACAAGACGGCAGTGACAGCCGTAATGAATCATATTTTCTGTCAAAGCGCTCGCATCCTGTCTATCAGTTCAGAGTGCATGCATGTGTGTGTGTGTGTGTGTGTGAGAGAGTGAGAGGGAGTTAGAGACCTCCAGTGCATTGTACATTCATGGTGAGTAAGTACTGGGTCATTCATATGCAACAGTGTTCTGATCACAGACAGCACGCTTGGAAGTGTCAGACTCACAACCTTCAAATAACTCTCAGGCTCTCTCACTTTGGCTGCTCGGCCGGCACATACCTTACAAACCGTGGCCTCTCCTTTCCCCCCACTCTTCCTACTACCAGAGGAATATTCTGTGTGCCTACCGGACTAATGAAGCAGTGTTCAAACACAGATGATGGATCATTGAGTACAGTGTGTTGGTAGGATTAGACTGTCAAAGATAATCACTGGGTTTCAGGAGAATGGGACAATTTAATTCTGTTCTGGCTGAGGGTGTTCGATAATGTGGTGACACTGGCAATTATTTCATCCGTATCACACCCCGGTGATCTCGCTTTGCTCTTTTCATTAGCCGCTGCTGCTGCTGCTGCTGCGTGGAAAGCAGATGTACAGTCAAAGTCGAAATGTTTGCCTCCTCTCCGGCGAGTTCAGTCGATAAACTTGTTTGCTGCTAGTTTTCCCCCCCAAAAAAACTTTGGGTGAAATTATCTCCCATCAAAACTCTACTGCGGCCGCCGGGTGAGCTGTAATGGGAGCCGCCGTCCATTTGCAAAATGTCAACAAATATCACAAGTGTTGTCTCCAGTGGTGACCTTCATCCGGCTAATAAGGCGATTCTACCCGCATCCATATCATGCCAGCTGGGAACAAGCATCACCATGGTGATGGGGTGGCTTAAATGGCAGCTTTAAAGTCCCTCGTGTCGCTGATTGGTCGTCCGGGTTTCAGAGGGATGAGGTCAGGATAACAGCGGTTCCCCTGGAAGCGTTTCATTTAATGGGACCTTCATACATACTGTTACAGTGGTTAGAACACTTAAAACAAGGCAAAAAAATCAAGTACGATTAAAATGTTTTTGTCAGAGAATTCCCTGTTTGAGCCTCAAGCACTTTCTGGTCCGATCGCTTTCTTAGTCACTGTGGGCTCATTTTTAACTGCAATACAAAATCATGTACCTCATTGGAAACAGTAGAACTATAACGAGGAGTAGAGAGAACTCCATTTCTACAGATCTTTGATTATTTATTTTACAAAAGATGAAAACAACTAGTGATCACAGGTGCTACCAATACTGGAATAAATGCTGAGTCTGCATACTAGAGGTGTTTTACTATTTAGATTTTTAGTTTCTGTCCATCTGCATTGTCTGAACGCATCCTGCACTTCAGCCGAACCATCCCTGAGCTTTTGTTGTCTTGTTCTTGGTTGTAAATGGTTCGCTAGTGGCATCATAGTTACATTGAAGAGTGTAGATTTGTTTGTGTTTTATAGAATTGAATTACTTCAAACTAGTTTAAAATGAGACTATTTGAATCACTATATCACTACTTGAAGCTTAAATTTGGTTAAGTTGTCCAACAGCACATCACACACAAGAAGCTCACCAGAGAGTTGAAGATGCATCTATTATTTGTGTTTCTACAGCTTCCAGCTCTGATAAATGATGTAATTTTGGCATTTTTAAAAAATAATATGCCTTTGAAACCCACCAGATTTTGGAAGTTAGAAGAATAATTTACAATGAATTTTGCAGAAAGCTATGGTACAAAATAATATTCATGGAAACTGGATGTGAAATGTTTATTTTTCTTGTTTTAGTTTTTGGACAGCATTCGGTTGTAATGACAGACTTGTAGGACTTAAGAAACATCTGTATCTTATCTCATGAAGATCTGCTCGCAGCAGTAAAATAATCTTCCACTGGGGATTCTACTGGCAACAGCTGATCACGTTCTGGCTGCAACACGGAGCTGATTTGGGCGACTCGAGACAATGCTTGTGATTCCACCAGATGCTCCGCAGCGTGTTTCAGATGTACCTAGTCTGGAGTCGACACAGGGTCAGTTTTCAAAATAAAAAAAAGGCTGTGCGTACTCCTGATCATAAATCATTACTACATCATGAATAAAAGAAATGCCAAAGTGTTCCCTTCCTGCTTGCAAGAGGAAGAGATTTGTCTCTCATAACTGCACTTAACTGCTTTGCAGGCTGCAGCACAACAATAAACACAATTAAAACAAAAACACAGCAGTTGAGAAAAATTGACCAAATCAGGAAGTCAGCAAAATCCGACTTCTGAAAGGCTCCTGTTGGGGTATCAGTGTGTTCTATTTTATGTAGGAAGCCGGGAGAGAGAGTGAGAAGTTTTACCCGGAACACCCCCTGTAGTCAGATTTCCCACTTGGTGAGTTGGAAGAGCCTTAAAGTCCTCAAAACCCAAAATCACTGCTCAACACATGAGCAGAAGTGGAAGCTGTAGAAGTTTACTGTTTGTTAGCACTTCTCTCATATTTGTGTCTTATTAAATCAAACAGGCTTGTCCTCCTTCTATCTGTAGACATGCTGCTGTTGTGTCTGTATATTAACTGGTGTTTTTAACGATGACTAACTCGATGTTTTCCTTGAGACGACCATCATAACATAGTTGTACTGGAACATTGAAATCAGGTGTGACGTCCATCCAGGGGTTATAGTTTTTACCAAATCATTAGCGGTGGGTAGGGTTTCTGCTTCTTGTCAGCTTTCTGGACTAATTAAAGACCCCACACACACCCAAGATCCCCCCACATGGTTGATGTTGATTATTCTGGCTGATTAGATGCCCTCTGAAGACGGTGTGGGCAGGACTCACTTTAGCTGACTCACTCTCTCCCGTTAGCCTTATTTCACCTGTTAGGGCGGGAAAATTACACATTAATCATACTCACGCTGTGTTTACATCATATTGTTTCAACCATAATTACAAGGAACTGTGTCAGACACTGTTTGTGTCCGCCTCTGAGTTATAATTCTCCCATTGCTAATAATGTTTCCCATTAGCTGAAAAGAACTGAGTGTCAACAAACTTGACAGTTTATGCAGACATAATGTAGCTGCAGCATATTTATATACAGAGGCTGATGCTGTCACATAATTTCTAGCATACACACAAAAATTTACTATTATTATTTTTATATAATTTCATTAATATTTAGGAAAATCCCAGATGAAAAGTATCATAAAATAAATGAATAGAACCGGTCAAAACTGTAAATTACTTATGTTACAGATGTATAAATGTGCCATGTGATCAATGGTATTTTGTTGTTTGTCCTTTTACAAGGTGTGATTGTAAAATTACACTATTTTATCTGTTAAATTAGCAAAAAAATATAGTTATTTTACAAATATTTGCTAATATTGGATTAAAATTTTTTTTTAGTTTTAAAATGCTAAATTGTCATTTTTGCCGTTTTTTTTTTTTTTTTTTTTTAAATAGTACAGATAATATGTAGTAAAGTCACTGAATAAAGTATTAATTCACATGTTGGCTATAAAAGGAAGGAACAAAAATACGCCACATAACATACGGAACATGTCCACATAAAAAAATCTGTATTCTCACAAATTATCATGTATTTTGTGATATGTGACTGTAAAATAATATATATAATAATACATAATTTTACTATATGTAAAACATCTAAAATATGTATATTTTTATTTTTAATTTTTTAAATTTATTTTTACATTTATTTATTTTTTGGCCACTTTTGCGGTTTTGGACTGTTACAGTATTTCACCATTTTTAACATATTATTTCCAACAACCTTATTTCAGAGTTGTTGTTTTTTTTTGGTATATACTTTTTTTTTTTTACAGTGTACAGTAGCTTCACCCAACTTCAACCTGAGAGGAGAAGAGGCCGAAGCAACAGCAAGCGATACGCCTGCATGTTCTCATAAATAACACTGGCTTAGTTTCCCAGTTCTAAAAATTCATTTCAGGGCCTTGAAGTCCGACGCTTGGAACTGCCTGTTAATTTGCATCAGTCTAAAACTGCATTTGTGCAGATAAGAATTCAAATATTGCAGTTTTTTCCATCCATCCATCCATCAGGCAACCACGTATGCTCACTCTGTGGCCCATTTAGAATCACCAATCAACCTCCCTGCATGTCTTTAGACTCT